CTATATTATCCGCATTTTACAACATTTCGCAATGAAACTTTGGAATATTACTAATTTTGTGATGCTCTTTCAAGCTGTGATAAAATTTTTGTCTAGACTTGTTGAGATCTAAATTTTAGTCAAAAGGTGAAAGGTCCATTGTTGTTGCGATTTTGTTCGTCTGATAGATGTGAATGAGGGGATGACTTACTGAATGTTCACAAGAGGGTTCATATACTCATCTATTCATAACTCACCTACTCGTTCACATGCATCAAAAGACGAAAATCGCACCAGAAACCACAGCAAAAATTGCAAATGTAAAAAGAGATCGTGACTGCATATCTTTAAAACCATACTGTACGTTAAAGTGCCTATATCACTTGTGGGATCTTTATGGATTTGAAAAAAGTTAGTTAATAAGTTCAATCCTGAGTCCCAGCCTCCTGGGGTCTAAACACGGCTATCGAATTTGGCCTTTTTCCAAACTGTCCATTGTACATAGGAGCCTGGGACTCAGGAACTGTAGGTAGTTTAGAGGACTGTATCTTCGAAATTATTGCACTAAATCAAAACAAATCTTTTGAACTTATTAACTAACTTTTTACGTTCTTTACCCATAAAGGTCCCACAAGTGATATAAGCACTTTAAGTTGCCAATCCCCAATTTTCAGTGGAGACAAAACTATAACATGATAAAAAATACCAGTCTTCCAAGTTCGCTGTGTCCTCTGAAATTGTTGATCTATACCCAAAGCTTCCTCTTGTATGGTCAAAACATTTACAATTGTTCTCAGCACAGTCTAAATAATGACACAAGCAGTCGCTATAAACCTTTTAAATAACGTCACAAATATGTCAAAACAACGAGTGTCGGATGGCATGGAGAACAATAGGAGTTTTAAAACAATGAAAAGACAATGCAACATCCGATCACCAGATTGTGACTGTATTTATAGTATTTCTATTGTATCAGTCATAATTATGTCCTCATAGCGGTAGGAACGAATACGTTAAACTAAACGAAAAGCAGAAATAGGAATGGACAAACAAATTTGTACCTCATCGACTTGTGATAAAGGCCGGGACGGAGACTTGAGTCTTCGAACAACAAGAGCCTGCAACTTGTGACGCAAATATTGCACCAACAGAACCAGCTGAAAACAAGATTTATAAATAAATACTGTAAAGACCTTAGAACTATAGTCTTTTGTTGGGCTGCATGTTTACTTTGAAGCTCAATATCACGAATGTCTAAATCCACCTTGCTACAATGAACTATATTTGTACTGGATAACTCCAGAATCAAATTGAGACAGCTACACGCGTAAAACTCTCACATCTTGTAGCAAGTCTGCCAACAAGCCGTCAACAAGTTGTATTCGCACTGCTTGTCCCAAGTTGTCAACAAGTTTGGAACAAGCTGTTAACAACTTCTAACAACCCTGTTAATACTATCAGACTTGTTGCAAGATTGTTCCAACAAGTCCGATACAGTCATGATATAACGATATTGTTACAACCTTGTGTCGTCAACCTTGTAACATTCTTGTTATATCATGACTGTATCAGACTTGTTACAACAACCTTGTAACAAGTCTGATAATGCCATCAAGTTTGTTACAAGTTGTTAACAGCTTGTTCCAAACTTGTTACAAAAACTAAAAACAAGCAGTGCGAACACAACTTGTCGACAGCTTGTGAACAGATTTGTAATAACTTGTTTGCAGACTTGTAACAACTTGTGCGTTTTTACGCGTGTACACACGTTGTTCCAACAAGTTCGATACAGTCATGATATAACAATATAACATATTGCAACCTTGTAACATTCTTGTTACATCATGACTGTATCAGACTTGTTAGAACCCTGTAACAAGTCTGATAATGTCATCAAGCTTGTTACAAGTTGTTAACAGCTTGTTCCTTACTTGTTGACAATTTGGGACAAACAGTGCGAAAACAACTTGTTGACGGCTCGTTGGCAGACTTGCTACAAGATGTTTTACACGTGTACAGGAGCTCTTCTCGCATGTGACTGACGCGAGATTATAATTAAAGCAACTTCATATTGCAGAGATCGAATCCTGGTCACAGTGGTGACCGGTCTGTTTTGACAGGTCGCTGATACGCTTACACTAACAATGAAACAAACTGTTAGAAACTTGTTTCGATACATTATAGTTTCATGTTTTAATTCAAGACGTCAGCAATCACATTGGAAGGCATGAAAATGCGGCTGGTCTAAATGACCAATGAGGTAAAAAAGTGGCCGATCAATTTTGGCCGGTACGTTGTCCGGTCATCGTTGACCTGTTTTTATTTTGAGCCCTGCCCACGATAACAAGTGTTCCTCCAACATAACTCTGTAATGCTCACCTCAGGTTTTTCATTAAACTGCACGAAATCATGAATCTTCATCAGAACAGTATTCTTTACAGATTCCTCGTTCCCAGGACTTTCACTCTCGCTGTCACTGCTTTCACTGAGTACTCCTTCATAAGTGACCGCGCGATTGCCATGAGTGGCCTCGGGACGAGCGTCGATTTTGTCGGAGGATAGACAGGGACCCGAGAAGAGAGCCACGGTAAGTGGGGATACAAGGGAACATGATTTGACGTGAACGAAATACGCTGCCCTAAAAAGACGTAAAGTTTGGCTATTGGTTCTTCATACTGATTACTTGATAGACTAAATAGCTTACTTCGTTGTATAGACTGTTCTCCCTAGAGGTTCAATAATGGCCATGGCTTATTTTAGAGGTCCAATTATAGCCTTGCCTTAAATTTGAATCAACTCTACCCAGAATGCAGTCAAGACGAAATTATAATTATCAGACTGATACAAAATATAGGATGACAAACACGTAGTATGTTTTCAAATTGTCTAATTACACATGCGAATCTTCCATTAAACTTACCTTGACATTTCTTCATAAAACAGCCATTCAGCAGGCAATTTTTCAATGGCTGCCGCGTGGGACTTGGCCAGAGATTTCTTACTTTCTGCTGTAGTAAATAGTGTTGTTGAATGATGCAAACGAATTTTCTTTTCTTTTCTATAAATGAACCAAAAACAGTTGTGTTCAGATCGCTGATGGAGTCCGAATTTGAAACTGCCGGTTGCAACTGGAGGGGGGAGCAGATGAGAGAATACACATATTTTACTACTTAAATTGTTATTTAACACGTATGGTAATGACTTACTTTGTGGCAAGTTTATTGGCCTTCCTGTCAACATACACTAGGTTGGGATACAGTCCAGCACACAAGGCAGCCTGAAAATGAAACAAATATGAAACAGTTTTAATAAACAAACGTAGGGTTCCATTTTAGGTCTTTGATAATAAGCTGCCGTGGTTTGTGTCTGAACTACCTGAAAAAGATATCTCAAACGTGGTGGTCCAGTGTAGGTAGTATTCTAGAATAAGCTGTGGTGGTTTGTGTCTGAACTACCTGGAAAAGATATCTCGAAAGTGGAGGTCCAGTGTACGTTTTTTCCAGGTACCTTAGACACAACGTTTCCGGTAAAAATATTTTGTACCAAGAAACTAATTGCGTACCTTGACGATAGCCCAGTTCCCGGAATTCGTGTTGAGATCTCTCATGTCACTGGAGCCACGTTGTCGTACAAATCCCATTGTCTTGAGTTGGCCAAGAATAAGAGACCTAATGTAGAACACAATAAAGTTCGAAAACATGGAAAAAATAGTTTGACACTAAAGCATCTCCTATAGAAATTCCACTGACAAACTGAGAAACTTTCTAACACATTACGGCTGCCCATTACCTCTGAGTTCAATTTGCTATTACTACACGTCCAGGGCAGTGAAGATTGGGTATGTATATCCAGTCTATTAATGAGATCAATACACTCACCTCATTCCCGCCATCATTTCCATCGTGCCAGGCGAGAGAAAATTTTTCTTACAGTAATTCTTATCCCACCCGTCACCATGAGCTTTCTGCCAACCCTAAGAAATCAAATATTTTATTTATCGGCGAATAAAGGGACACAGAAAGAGTTTTTATTAATACCTCCATGTACAATAAACACATTTGGCGAGCGTTGTTTACAAATGTTGGCCAAATACGTCTACTTGCTTGAAGTAAAATACTTACTCTAAATATTTTGAGGACCACAAGTTGATCGCTGTAAGACTGTCCAACTAAACGTTTCTTCAGTTGAGCCAAGGAATGCTTGTCGGCCGAATCAATTGGCAGAATGACTAGAAACATAAAATTACATTCATAACTGGTTTTTTTCAGGAATAAAACTTTGTCCCTGAGAGGCGAAAAACACATGCAATAACTAGTCCAATGGAACTGAGTTATACACACGCGTAAAACTGCCAACAAACCGTCAACAAGTTGTGTTAGCACTGCTTGTCTCAAGTTGTCAACAAGTTTGGAACAAGCTGTTAACAATTTGTAACAAACTTGTTGATATTATCAGACTTGTTGCAAGGTTGTTCCAACAAGTCCGATACAGTCATGATATAACAATATTATTACAACCTTGTGTCATCAACCTTGTAACATTCTTCGTATATCATGACTGTATCAGACTTGTTAGAACAACTTTTCTACAAATCTGATAATGCCATCAAGCTTGCTACAAGTTGTTAACACTTGTTCCATAAAACTTGTTACAACAACTGGGAACAAGCAGTGCGAACACAACTTGTCGACAGCTTGTGAACAGATTTGTGACAACTTGTTTGCAGACCTGTAACAACTTGTGCGTTTTTACTTGTGTAGTTTGATGATAGGAAACAAGGCGTCATATCTCCTTTTTATCACAAATCAACAACAAAAGTGTAATATTTACAGGGGTCTTTGTATGCCATGGCACACGCCAACACAACGACAGGATCCAGGCATTTCAACACAATTGAGAACAATATCATCTTCCCCAGGCGAGGTTCGACAGGCAATTCCGCCAGTAGACGACCTGGAAAAATAGAAATATTTATATTAAACTCATTTTATTCATACTGAATAGCTTTACCATCCTAAGCGTCATCCCTTGTCGGTTCAGTGTTACTATACGGGAGGAAACCTAAACTAAACCGACTTCCATAACAAAAAATCCAGCTAACTCTTCTTGATCCACTGTAGCCTGAATTTCAGACGGCCCCGAGTTCAGCTCAGCTCAGTTCAGTTCAGTTCAATTCAGCTCAGTTCAGCTCAGTTCAGTTCAGTTCAGTTCAGTTCAGTTCAGCTCAGTTCAGTTCAGTTCAGTTCAGTCCAGTCCAGCTCAGTTCAGTCCAGTCCAGTCCAGTCCAGTTCAGTCCAGTCCAGTCCAGTCCAGTTCAGTTCAGTTCAGTCCAGTTCAGTCCAGTTCAGTTCAGTTCAGTTCAGTCCAGTTCAGTTCAGTTCAGTTCAGTTCAGTCCAGTCCAGTTCAGTTCAGTTCAGTCCAGTTCAGTCCAGTTCAGTTCGACTCAGCTCAGCTCAGTTCAGTTCAGTTTCTCACTCATCAGAGAGTGGATTTCCCAACAGGCTATTGCCAATTGATAGGGGATCCGAGGTACCTACGATTTAACGTCCTTATCCGAGAAGACGCAAAGTCTAACCATTTACTGATGTCAATGTAAAGGTAGCTCTCCCCACTCAATTATTTTAAGAGCTTGAGTAGAGGTCCGACCAAGGATTGAACCCTGCTCTCCCAGCTTGAAAGCAAGCATGGTGACCACGACATCACATGTGCTGGTTTTGGTTACGGCAGGAGAGTTTTGGTTACGGCAGGCTGTTTCTAGTGCCGAGACGGAGGACAAAGCATCCCTGATTTTGGTTACGGCAGGAGAACGCTGAGATTATGATAGGTTAGTGAAACATACGAAAATTAGCAAGGAAAAATCTTACCAAGATCAGTAAGATCTTCCCACTGATCTAACGCATCCATCGCCTGAAATAAAATAAGTTTTATGTAAGAGGAGAATCTTTTGTATGTCACGTAACACACGCTCAAAACTAATGAATATACTTTTCCACTTGGTATGACTATATATATACTCATTTTTTAAATTTTTGATACGTTTCTCAAGCGGCAAACAAACTTAAAAAGTATGTTTAGTACTTTATCTGTAAAATTATGCTAAAGCGAAGAGATTTTAGATCGTACGAGAAAATGATGTCTTAAGAGAAAATGATGTCTGAAGTTCAGCAAGTTTTGCTTATAGTGCTATATATTATCAGACTGTAGTGCTATATATTATCAGACTGTAGTGCTGTATATTATCAGACTGTAGTGCTGTATATTATCAGACTGTAGTGCTGTATATTATCAGACTGTAGTGCTATATATTATCAGACTGTAGTGCTGTATATTATCAGACTGTAGTGCTATATATTATCAGACTGTAGTGCTGTATATTATCAGACTGTAGTGCTATATATTATCAGACTGTAGTGCTGTATATTATCAGACTGTAGTGCTATATATTATCAGACTGTAGTGCTGTATATTATCAGACTGTAGCGCTATATATTATCAGACTGTAGTGCTGTATATTATCAGACTGCTATAAGGTAGCCCAAAACACAAAAGCCTTTTGGTTTCTCTTGGGCTTCCTTGCCTGCCACTAATTACAAATTTGTAATTTTTTATTTTTATGGCAAAATAAATTGAGTTGAGTTGAGTTGAATATGCCGTCAATTTCACTGCAGCATCAATAATCATTCTATTGTTTTGTGTTTCTCATCTTTTAAGACCCATTTCCCCTGAAGAAAAATTTCCACGGACAGAAAATTTTCCAAAAATATCATCGTTACAAGTTGCAAAATTTGTGTCGGCCAATCACATTTTACAAAATTCTCCTTCTGCGGAAAATTTTCCTGAGTGGAAAAGGATCTGTATTCTATCTAACTTACTTTGAGAGTTTCCACCGCATTACGTAACACAAGATAAGGTGGGGGCTCTGGAGCTCGGGAAAGGAAATCCGCTATCGAGGTCGTGGGTCCAGCTAGGAGCTTTGTGTGAAGGCATAACTCCTAAAACAGAACAAAATATTACCGAGTGGCTTATGATGCTTGTGATGTTACTCTGAGTGTATATCCACACCGGGCAAGCTTGAAAAATATGCCCGACCACGGTGGGAATCGAACCTACGACCTTTGGAATACTAGCCCAATGCTCTGCCAACTGAGTTCCGCGGTCTGGTAGATTCGGAACAGAATCTAGTTCCTTCGATATTAATGTAATCTAATAATCATGATTTTTTCTGTGTTGGTGTAATGTACTCAGGTGACTCGTACAGTAGGTTCGATTCCCACTGTGGTCAGGCATATTTTTCAAGCTTGCCCGGTGTGGATATACACTCAGAGTAACATCACAAGCATCTTTAATGTAGAAATGTATGCGTTCTCTAAGGATTTGTTCATATGGGCAAAAGTTATCCCGGTTAACGAGAAATCTTTCCGACTGGCCAAATACTTTTGTTCTGTTCATGTGGAGAAACGTTATCCCGCTTACCGGGTAAATTTTCCGGCTGTAACGTAGCACTGAACATCGATCAATTGAATTGGAAAGTTGCTAGCACGACAGAAAAGTTATCCCGCTAAGCTGGAAAGTTGTGTTCATATGGGAAAAACATCCCGGTCACCGAGATCTCGCCTGTCAAAATTAATTCGTTGAAGCACAGTGCATATCCCACCTGCAATGGAAATCGTAGTAATTCTGGAATTTGAAAATCTTGCAAGCTGTCATATCGAACTCTGCTGCAAAGATGGTAACATACCCCAGGAGAACAACGTCCCGCCCTGGATGAAATAATAATAAAAAAATAATATTGTGTATACGCCATAAAATTGACAGGACTGGTGTGGCATATAGTATATGTTCTTGCCAATTCTACAATCTTTTCATTTCTTTTATAAATATGAGAAAATATACTGTAAAAAGATATTAGAATGTTTCAACCTTTAACAAACAAAATGTAAATTGTCACATGCACGATATGAGATCATGTATGCCAGTGAAGTCGCCATTCGCTACATCACAGTCAAGGCAATGCTTCAATCAGGTTCTGGCATGTTTTTGACTATCCTCATAAAATTGAATACTGCGTATTTAAAATTGAGAACAGGAATTGTCAGAAAAGTAAAGAAAAATAATATACCATCAGTACATCAGTACAAAAAATTTTCTTCCATAATATACAAAGAAAGCCAATATATGAGGTGACTAAATACATCTAAGGACAAGCCATTGTGTATATTTCTACCAGACGATTCAATCATCATATCAAAAAGAAAATGACATTGAAATCATGAAACAAAAAATACCTTCCATGGCGTTGCACAGCGCTTGCTTTCGAGATCCATACTGTTTCTAGTGCCGAGACGGAGGACAGAGCATCGAATGATTTCTAGAGAAAATATTTATATCAATATTTATAATTTCCATTATGATAGCACATAAAGAGTACAAAGAAAGATAGAAGACTTTATTTTTTAGCAGAGTAGCTCAGTCAGCACAATGTCTGGTACACTTATATATAGGGGCTCTGCATGTAACAAAATAGTTACAATAATCAAGACTAATTTACCTACCATTACATTATTAAAAATATTATCCATAATCATGTACGTATAAAATCCAAAGTATGATTACAATATCAATATCAAAGATGCTTAAAGATGGACAAGGTTGTAGCATTCTTTGTTCTATTTGGAAGTGTATGGTAAAGTAATGTTCCAGAAAATGTAAAACTTCTTTTGCCTAGATTAAGCTTTGGTTTCGGAGGAATGCAGATCATTTATCTTCTAGTGTTATACTGTATGTGTGGATACTATATGATTCCTCACAAAATGATCATAAAACGATTCATAACCTTCACGAGCTTGTGTGTCTGATATAAAATCTGGGTGATGTACATTGAACTATATCAGTTTGTTTTTTTTTTCACCAAAATGAACAAGAATTCTAAAGGCCCTGTCACATTATTGCGTATCGTACTAGCGTATGAAAAATATCATTCATACGCCGGTATACGCTGCCATACGCTAGGGGTACGTTAGGCCACAGTTAATTGTTAGGCATAGGTTGTATAAGTTTCAAGCACGGTCGCGTACGGTGGCATACGCTGGCATACGGCGAGGCAGAACATTTTTTTGAGCGTGTTCAAAAATTTTGTGCGTATCGGACGTATGCTTTATACGATAAGCATACTCTAGGCACACGCTGAATACGCTAGAGATACGCCAGATGTATGGTACTCATACGCTGGCATTTCAAAGGATTTTTGTGCGTACGAAAATTATTTCATTTATTATTAGCATGACAAAATTACTGGATGCTGATTGGTTGAGAGGAGTACAATTATTTCATTAATTGTACTGCAGTACAATGAATGATTTTCCCAAAACAAACAAAATGGCGGAAAGGTATTTTAAACACAAGCGTGAAATGAAATTGCCGTGGAGGAACTAGATGAAAATACGAACAAAAGCACCAAATTGTGCTTGAACAAAAGAACTAAATGAAAATACAAACAAAAGCACCAAATTTTGGTTGAAAGTCTGGCAGGACTGGCCTTTGGCGAGAGAATATATGATGTTGACATTGAGAAGTACGTATCCAATTTTGTCATGCTAATAATAAACAAGTAATCATGCGATGTTGCTCGTACAATTAGGGATTAATGGTACTCGTGATGTTTGGAAATTTGCCAAATTGGACTCGCCTCGGCGGCTCGTCCAATTTTGGCAAAATGTCCAAACATCACTCGTACTATTAATCCCTAATTGTACTCGCCATCGCATGATTACCTATACTAATTTTCATACGCTTCTCATACGTTTCTCTCATACGCAATAGTGTGACAGGGCCTTAACGAAAGTAGTACCTCTTTAACTTTGGCACTGTCGATCACATACACGACGTCATCAATCGTTACACTCGTCTCAGCGATATTCGTTGACAAAATCTATCATTAAAAATACACAAAGAATATCAGAATTTAGAAATTTACATACATGTATGATGCACAGAGAGAAGTATAATTATGCACTTACAATTTTCCTAGTACCTTCAGACATTTTGCGGAAGGCCTAAAAATAAATAAATAAATTATTAAACTACATTTTGAGAGACTATGAATTTAATACCAATATGTTACAATTAAAAAATGTACAACTACAGTATGATGGGCTCTAAGAAACCGAACGACTTACTTTCTTCTGCTCAGAAGGCTGCATAGCTGAGTGGAGACAACATATGTGAAACCTAGGTAAATGCAATAATATTTGTCATAAGGACGAAAAGTTACAGTTATTTACTATCAGTCACGTAAACCAAGTCTATTACACTTCATTTTTTACTGGATAGCTCTACCAGTTCCAAACTGTTCTCTCTAGAAGTCCAGTAAGGATCACCCCTTATTGATCTAGTGTTACCATACAGGAAGAAATCCAAACTAAACTAACTTTATTTATACTGGATAGCTCTATCAGTTCTAAACTGTTCTCCCCAGAGGCCCAGTAAGGAACAAAGATTATCGCTTATCGATCCAGTGTTACTACATGCAGGAGGAAACCTAATCCAGTTATAAACTGTTCTTCCTAGGAGTCCAGTACAAGACTCATTTATCGTTGTTCATTTATCGTTGTTCTCAATTAACAAACATACTGAATACGTTTATCAGTCCGAAACTGTCCTTCCTAGAAGACAAGTAGAATAATTTCTTATTGTTCCATTGTTACAACAGGAGGAAATTTAAACTATCTATTTATACTGGACAGCTTTACTACTTCTGAATTGTGCTACCTTGGAGTCCACTCACATTCTGGTGTTTCCAAACTCTTTCGAGGAACTCAATTGATCCTTAAGTGTAATGATATCATCGTAGCCGGGAAGAAACACCAGCACAGCTCCTGGAACGAAATACCAACTGCAAGTCAAAAACACTGCCACAGCGCATTTTTTGCATCAATCATACCTCTGCTTCGTAGAGAGTTAGGATGCAATAATCCATTCAGATACTGGTTCGGTTAGCAAATGGCTTGCTCAACCCATTAAAGCTCAACGCTTTCTTCTCTCGCTACAAGTAAAATCGTCTACCTTGAGACAAAGTAAAATATAAATAAAGTGTGCTTACCGGATGTGTCAGAACCACATATGTATTTCAGTAGATTAAATATCAAAGCTAAATCAACCTGAAATGTACAAAAACATGACAACTAAATTTTCTGCCAAACTTAGATTCTGCACTTCACTTGGTGGAATCAATATTAGCACACCCGATTACCTATTACCTATTAGCACACCCGATTACCTATATATACATGAAATTACGGTTACAGCTCAACAGCTGGCCTCTGTAGCTCAGTTGGTTAGAGCGCTGCACCGGAATCGCAGGGCCGTAGGTTCAATTCCTACCAGAGGATCTTGTGCTGCAATTTTCGCAGTCGTTCCTGGTTAGGTCTTAAAATGTATATATTCTCACTTGGATTACAAACCCTAACATCCTAATACTAAATCTTTTTTGCCACTATTTCTTTATTGTGGCTTTATTCGGTAATAAGGCCGTGTATGTTGAACGACAATACTATAAGTACTATCTTCAACAATTTAAGATAAACCAATGAAATTGAAGATAAAGTTTATGTAAATCAGCATGATTTTGTATCAGTTATGCAAACTCCTTCACGCTCATGATTTTCACAACACTTGTTTTAGTTTCTGGAAAATATCGCAAACTATCTCTTTGCTCTAACGATTTGTGCTTTCGGACTGTGTAATTCCATATCGGATATCAGTAATGTGAGAGTTTTATAGATGGGGAGCGGTCCCAGAGAACCCAAAATATATCTAATAAGTAATCTCACAACAAGTTTGAAACAAGCTGTTAACAACTTGTAACAACCTTGCTGTACCAACAAGTCCGATACAGTCATGATATAACAATATTGTTACATCAAGGTGTCATCAACCTTGTAACATTCTTGTTATATCATGACTGTATCAGACTTGTTAGAACAACCTTGTAATATTCTTGTTATATCATGACTGTATCAGACTTGTTAGAACAACCTTGTAATATTCTTGTTATACCATGACTGTATCAGACTTGTTAGAACAACTTTGCTACAAGTACAACACAAAATTCTTAAGCCGCAAATCACCTTGTCATCATCAAAGGTCTTATGATAAAGACTTAACAACTCTTTACTTTCATTGTTCAGTTGTTCTGATTGTTGCTCAAGTATCACGTCATCGACTTGGTTTGCTCGCTGGGATCTGTAAGAAGAGAGATAGCCATAGACCTGTCACATTGTCATGATGATGTATTGAAACAACCTTCGAAATTTACAAAACTCATTCAAACAATGCCCAACAACGTACCCGTAAGATTCAATGAACTGAGCGACTTCCTCGTGGTTCCAATTTCTTGCCCAGTCTGCAGCAGTCCTGGGAATGTTGAAAATTATTCACTTCCAGTTACAGTACATTTGAGACGAGTGATTCCACTTTGTCTCTGCTAAATACCGGAGGTCTTCTCGGGGAACTCCGGTTTCCTTTTGTGCAGTAACACTGGATGAATAGGAGATGACCCTTACTGGATCTCTAAGAAGAACAGTTTAGAACTGATAGAGCTATCCAGTATAAATAAAGTTAGTTTAGTTTAGGTTTCCTCCTGTAGTAACACTGGATGAATAGGAGATGACCCTTACTGGATCTCTAAGAAGAACAGTTTAGAACTGATAGAGCTATCCAGTATAAATAAAGTTAGTTTAGTTTAGGTTTCCTCCTGTAGTAACACTGGATGAATAGGAGATGACCCTTACTGGATCTCTAAGAAGAACAGTTTAGAACTGATAGAGCTATCCAGTATAAATAAAGTTAGTTTAGTTTAGGTTTCCTCCTGTAGTAACACTGGATGAATAGGAGATGACCCTTACTGGATCTCTAAGAAGAACAGTTTAGAACTGATAGAGCTATCCAGTATAAATAAAGTTAGTTTAGTTTAGGTTTCCTCCTGTAGTAACACTGGATGAATAGGAGATGACCCTTACTGGATCTCTAAGAAGAACAGTTTAGAACTGATAGAGCTATCCAGTATAAATAAAGTTAGTTTAGTTTAGGTTTCCTCCTGTAGTAACACTGGATGAATAGGAGATGACCCTTACTGGATCTCTAAGAAGAACAGTTTAGAACTGATAGAGCTATCCAGTATAAATAAAGTTAGTTTAGTTTAGGTTTCCTCCTGTAGTAACACTGGATGAATAGGAGATGACCCTTACTGGATCTCTAAGAAGAACAGTTTAGAACTGATAGAGCTATCCAGTATAAATAAAGTTAGTTTAGTTTAGGTTTCCTCCTGTAGTAACACTGGATGAATAGGAGATGACCCTTACTGGATCTCTAAGAAGAACAGTTTAGAACTGATAGAGCTATCCAGTATAAATAAAGTTAGTTTAGTTTAGGTTTCCTCCTGTAGTAACACTGGATCAATAAGAGATGA